CTGTCATCTTTCTGTGTTAGTTCAAGGTCATTTATAGCTAGATGGCTGTGAATCACAGGATACAGGGAATAGTAATTCTTGCATAATGATGAAAGATTTCCTCCCTTCCCCACAATACCTCTGAGATAGTGTATGTTTTAAAATCAGACAGGATGATGCTAGAAATAAAGCAGTACTAGTTGTGGAGATTCATCTGTGTACTAAACTGCCAGGTGAATTGGGAAAGAGGCTGTCTGCCAAAACCACCATCTTAACAAACATTTTTTTCTCTCTGGCTGAAAAGTATTACCAAAGAAGCAAAAAAAGTAGAAAGCTTTTTTCTTGCAAAGTAGGAATCTTTGCAAGAGAAGAGCAACTGTTTATGGTGTGTCAAGTCTGCCTGGCATGATTTACTGTCTGGAAACTCTTCTTCCTTTTTCTTACATTTGTGGTTTCTTTAACTTGTAAATATGAACTAATCTCTGACATCTTTCTTTTGTTGCTTTGATTTGTTGGGAGAGAAGAGGAGAAAGAATGAAAGCTGTGTTTGAGTGAGTTAGGAAAACCAGCATTTGGGCAACATATATGCGTTTACCATAATTGATGGCAAGATCTCTTGAACCTTTTGCAAAAGTAAGAAAGAGGCTATTCTTCGTTCTGTACTGCTCACGTGCAAGCATCTTTGAGGAGTGTGCTTGCATGCTTCTTTATATGATTAGTAAATGGGAAATGAGAGTTGTGTGTTGTATTTGGATAGAAGTTTTTCTTTACGTTTTATTCCCTAAAAGGATTTAAAACTGTGGCTGCTGTAATTACTTAGGAGAGAGGTATCCTCTCCATCCCTCTCCCCCATAGCTTGCATGTGATTTCTCTCTGCAGATGGAGAAGTGCTGCCCCCATATTGGATATGGTACTCAGCTCTTTCAAAAGTCTGTATCGAAAGCAACCATTTGTCAGTACTGCTTGTGACTTCCCAGAAACTGCATTTCTTAATTTTCTTTTCATAAATTATTGTGGAGCATGTCTGTGATCTCTGCAGAAGAAAAATGCTATGTGCACGTAGATGAGGTGATGAAAAAATTGACAGAGAAAACCGGCTTCCTATAGGTACTGTATTTAAATATGGAACAGTAGTGCCATGTCCTTCCCTGTCTCCATTGCAAAAACTGCAAAGCTATTGGGCATCTTCATCCTTCACATACCAAGACAGGTAACTGAAGTTAAGTCCCTTAACAGTTCACTACTTTTTTTTTTGATGTCTGAACATTCCCATTAAAGGGAGGATGGACATCTCCTTAAACCTGATGAGGATCCCGAGGCTGAGAACTCCTACATTAGACCTCCCATAAACAAAGTTGAAACCCCATGAGGCAGCAGTTGGCAAGGTTGCCATTTCTTTAAACTGTGTCTGTTTAGCAGGTTTGTGTGTGTTTGGGTGGACTTAAAAGCCTTTTTCCCAGAGAGGTCCAATAAGACCCCAAGGCAAATCCCTAGTTTTCTGAAATCCTTGGAAACCAGTTCCAGCACAGTCGTTTTAATCCAGCAATTAGCAAGCTAAACAGAAGGAACTTAAACCCTGTCTTGAATTTTGATGTGAGCCCTTCTTAAGCTCAGAATTATGAGTAGGAAGCATGCACTCACTTGGAGTTCAAGCTCTGTTCTTCTCAAAACATGCCTCACGAATAAATCTAATTATTATTGCCTTGCAGTGAATCTTCCAAACAATGCGCTTGGCTGCCTGGTCCACCCACGCTAAGTGAAAGAATATGTATGTTTTAATTATCAGATTATTTCAATGTTACATAAACACTGTTTCATATTAAATATTTCTACAAACCAATGACATCTGTATTCAATACTTGAGTGGATGATATTTGTTCCCTGCCTATTAATGTCTGTAATTAATATTTTTAAAACACCTTGATATTGTATATCATGCCAGTCTCACCTAAGTAAGGTCACTGTGGGAGTGGGTTATTCTTTCTACCATCATTCTTTGGCTAACGTTTTCATCATCTATATATAATTTCTGCTGAGTAAAGTTTTCCAAGTGAAATTATGTAGATGTCTAGAATTTTTTAAATGCAGCTGGGAGAAAGGCTTCGTGCCACCCTGTTTCTAAAACAAATTCTGCTCCATATGGTTAATTGCAATTTTTATAAACTTCTTTAGTGACCTAACTTTCTAAATGTCTTAGAAGCAGTGTGGAAACGGTGCTTCTCTGTGAATGAATGGTCAGAAGCTTCTGAGTGCATATGATAGTCACTCCATGTGTGAGATGTTTGAGTGTAGGCACAGGGTGGGACTTTCTGCTTTGCAGCATTCAGTAGTCACTGTTTTGCAGTTGCTTCCTGAGCAGACTCTGGACAGACATGAGAAGCGCTCTGTGGTTTGAGGCTAGCAGAGGCTGTGGTGTTGGCTTGTCCCAAGAACCAGCCTTACTCAATGGACAGTCTGTGGATGGGGAAGGAGCAGAGTTCAAGAGGAACCGGCAAGGAGCTGGGTGGTGTCACTTGTCGTCTGGTGTAGACCCTGGAAGGTCCTACAGTTGTGGCCAAAACTGGGACAGGCCTCTCACTGCTGTGATTTGTGCCAGCACTGGCTGTGTTGGCCTGTGGGGTGGCTGTCACCAGCTCTCAGGTGCCTCCTGCTTTCCCTGCAGTCGTGCTGCTGGTGCGGAGCTGAGAAACCACTGCCAGGTTCGGTTGGTATCTGTTTCTGAAAGTGTTGGCACTGGACAGTGTACGGTCTTTTAGATACCTGGCTTTTTCTGTTTGCTTTTGCATGGTGAGATGACAAGTGTTGGGAGGGGGACAGCTGCAAATACTGACCAGCAAGGTTCACATTGTCCTGCTCTACTCTGAGTTTTGCTTGTCTGGAGACACCTGTGGGTCTGGAATACAGGCGGGAGGGCAGGAAGACCATGTGCCAGGCTAGGACCCTTGCGGCATTATGCTTGTGTTTCCAGTGCATCCAGCGGTGCTACTGGGAATACCAGCTGCCTGCAGTGCAGGTAGTGTTCTGTAAGAGAGGAATAAGAAGCCATTAAAACCAGAGACACCACTTGTTCCAAACTAATAGGTGTCAGGCAGGTTCATTCTGTGGGATACTAGTCACCTCATGACAGCAGAGCACAGCGATGTGTTTCTTCCTGTACCTCCAGGGTTGAATTACCTGTTCTTGTTTCTGAGAAGGGTGAGGTAACTCTAGGAAAGTTTATTGATTCCTATCTTTGCTCTGAGACAAGCTTCCTTCTGGCTTTAGGCAAGTTCTGTATTTGGAACTATAAAATAATAAATATTTCCTTACTTTTATTGATGATACCTGATGTTCTACATAGGTTGGAGCAGCCTGGAGAGTGTAGAGGACACTATTGCTCCTCTTCAGGCCACACAGCACATAGCCAAGCTTTTCAAGCGGGAGAGTTTGCTCTCTGCTGCTGTGGAGCTCACATCTTTGGTTACAAAACCCATCTTTGCCTTAACATAGGCAGAGCTGCTGTAGATCTGTTTTCCTCTTTTCCCAGGCTTCCTTCTATGCAAATTCTTATCCAGGCTTTTGAATCCCATAGGAGGAAGTGGACCTTCAGCTCTATGGAGAAAGGAGGTGGCAAGGGCAGCCCACATTGGTGTGGTGTGAGGGAGGGGAAATGCTGATGACCAATGCGGGGCTGCAGATGCTTGGAGCAGACACCAGACCCAGCTGCTTGTGCTGGTCAGAGCTTTGGTGGGGAGAGCCGCTGGGGGTCACAGTCAGGAGGAGATGACCAGGTCCTCATAGGAATAGCGGTTAGTTTGACTCTGCAGGCTTCTGTTGCTGCTCTTTTGTAACATGGAAAGGCTATGACTATATAGCGTGCTTCTGAGGCCCTGAGCAACCTGATCTAGTTGGAGATATCCCTGTTCCTTGCAGGGGGGTTGGACTAGATGACCTTTGAAGGTCCCTTCCAGCCCTAACCATTCTATGATTCTATGATTCTGAGAGGGAACGCTGAGTGAGAGAGGCTCGAGTTGGTCTTGGAACCGTGTGGAAGAGTTTGGGGGGAATGGGACATGTAAGGAGAAACTCTGAGAAGAAAATTTCTCCTTGAGCTCAAGGATGAGAGAATTTGGGGGGGATCAGGGGTCAGTAGTGAGGAGGGTTGGGAATGTGAAGGAAACTGTGGTCCAGGTGGAATGTGCTAGGAGACTGGCATGGCAACTTCTGTCACCTCATCATCGGCTGACCAGACCTTCTCACCAGCATCTCAGACCAGAGCTTTCCTCATTCCCCTTTAAACCTTCTGAAATATGGCAGCCATCAATACATGCTGTAAAAAGCAATGTTTGCAGAGCACATTGAATGAAAAGGGCTATGTAATTGCTAATCTTAATAAACACCATTCATTAATGGTAATGGAACATCTGAAAGATAGCATGAGTTTTATGGGCTTTCGTTCCAATGCATGCTGCTAGAACCAACTGCAGAACAGTGTGTTGCTCTGCTGTTGCCTGCTCCACCCTTTGCATGGTGGGATCCCAGTTGTATTGTTGTATTCTTGTATGTTCTGGAACTGGAGAAGACACAAAACAATCTACAGAGCAGGCTATTTTAGCTGCACAAACCTCTCTAAGTAAAATGTTAAATGTACTGGAGGGTAAGCTCTTCATGATCTTTTCTGGCTTACTGGATGATGGCTATGTGCAAGGAAAACTGTAGCAGAGTTCTTGTGAATTGGGAGGGCAGAGTTGAAATAACCAGTGTGTTAATGGCAGAGGAAAACCATTTCTTGTGAAGTGCACAGCCAGGGCTGGTTGTCTGGCATTTTTCCTCTGAGTGTGGGAAGAGTATGTGTTTGTGTGCACATGCATGCACACGTGTGTCTGTGTGTGTGGAGGTGGGAATAAAGTTGCTTACTTGTTGCTGACATGTGATTCTTCATAGCATTGCTCTGTACTGAAATATCTTGCTTGGACTCCGTAACAGCATTGTCTAATCAGCTTTTTTATTCTTCCTCCTCTCTCCCCCTTCTCCTCCTCCAGTCAGCATATGCTGTGTCAGTGCTTAAAGAGTGTGCTAAACTGCGACCTACAGATCCCACCGTTCCTCTTCTGGCTGCCAAGGTCTGCATTGGGTCATTGCACTGGGTAAGCGAGCTGATATAATTCTTACTATGTAATGGACCAGGTGCTGCAGTGATAGTGCCACAGTGTAGTTGCAGTGGGAAGAAAGGGAATCCCTGTTAAAAATTGCACACATGTGCATGCCTTTTTTTTTAAAAAAAAAAACACAACAAAAAAACCCAAAACAAACGCAGCAAGAAATTTTGCAGTGAGTCACTGAAATGTATTTTGCTGGCACGTTAAACAAAGGAGTGGGGTGAGCCATAACAGCCATTTCTGGGGCCTCCTTCTTCAACTGAGTGTCGAGCTGAATTGGCCATTCTTGTAGCCCCTGGAAGACAAAAGTTTGTAGCTGAACTGTTAGATGGTTCAGGTTTGCCGGACGACTCAGTCCTTTGTTCTTGAAGTTGCTGTGTCAGTGTTTTCTGTTCTGGATATGTTAATGTATGCCCCAGAAGCAGAGTGGGAGTGGAAGTCTGTGCCTGTGAAATTCTGATTATCCCGAGGAGCAGAAACATCTGTCAGTTTTTTGCTGCTTAGTTTAATTAATTGAATGGCAGCCTGCTGTTTTCACCTGTCCTCACCACGAGGTGTCCCTGCAGACAGTGAAGGATTAGAATTGCTAATATAAGTAAAACAAAGATGCAAGAAAGCATGAAAGAAAATACCAGAAGAATCTGACCAGATTTTGGTGAGAAGTTGTAGGGGCTGGATTTGCTGTTGTTGTGACCCTCTACCCCACACCTCCCCATCCTCTACATCCCTATCTGGTGAAAGTTGGTATTCAGCTAAACTTAATTGAGTTGTATCACTTTATGGGAGATCTGGTTATGTATGTTTTCGAATGAACTGTGTTGTTCAAACTGTCACGGTTAAACTTTCAGGTCTGAGGGCCTTGAAATCCTTGCTAAACTACCCAGCCTACTGCTGTTCTCTCTCTATATATAGAGCAATTTAACTCCTGTACCCTTGGCTCATATCTAAATTTTGAGTGCTGAAAGTCATTCAGTGATACAAAATAACATTCATAGTGAATGTTATTTTTTTTTAACAAAGCAAATAAGGTTTTTTTCTGCTTCTTAGAAATGTTAAAACAACTTGAAAGCCAAGTATTACAACTGTGTTGAACGCTTTTATTAGTAACTCTGATGAAGTTTTCAAAGCAAGATCAACTTGTCATTAGTCTAAAACATCAGCAAGTATATTGATAATTTTTACTCTGTAGGGTCTGAAGCTAGAGGATCTTCATGGGCTAAATTCCTGCATTCACTTGGAGCCATAGTGGGAGACTGCAAGACCCTGACAGCTTCCCTTAGCAATTCTGTCTCAATGACTGCCAGAAGGCAAAAAAAAAAAAAAAAAAAATTAAAACCCAGCAAACAGTTGTGTTAAATGTGAAGAAAATCTATCTATCTTTGAGATCAGGCTAATTTTTTGTCTAGGAGCCTGAATTTTAGCGTAGAAGACAAACTCAAGACCTCCATATACAAGTAAATCTTGCATTCTTCTGCCTTCCTGTTCTGTGAATATGAATTCAACAACAGGAAGGCACTGGAGCCATGAAGCCAGTGAGGGAAGATGCTCTGTTGGACCTGATACTTACAAACAAGGAAGAACTCATTGGGAGTGTGACGTCTGAGGGCAGCCTTGATTGCAATGACTACGAGGTGAAATTCAGGATCCCGAGAGAAGGCAGCAAGGCAAATAGCAGAATGGACCATTCAAATGTGCTTTCACTGACTTTGACCAGTTCTAAACACAAATAGTGACTTCAAGAAGGCTGTGGTCTCTTGATCCGTGCTAAACCTGTGATCTCTGCCGTAATGAGCCTTTGGACAAAATTGAAATACAGTAAATTGTGAGACTCCATGCTAAGATCAAGATCCCTGGAATGATCTTATGTTTAACCGGAATGATGAAGTTTTAAGAGGCACTCTGCCAAACACTGGGTCACTGATGTGTGTTGAGGTGAAAGGACAAGAATTCCGTACTATCAGAAAAAAAAATGGCATAGAATCCCTTTTCTTTCATGTTCTACCCTGGTGTTTATGCAGCTCTTACTGTTGAGGACTAAATTTCAAATTATGCTGTTGAAGTCTCACTGTGATGAATGAGCAGTTGAATGTGAAATTATGAGCCCAAATTGAAGATGCTGCTATGCCAGGAAATGGGCAGAGTCAGGATTTGTCCTTCTCGTTGGTGCTTTCCCCAACATCTCTGTGGATCTGCTAGCACAGCTAGCATATAAAGAATACTTTGTTATAGAGACACTTAGAAAGAGAAGGTGAGACTGTAATTCAGTCACAACTCTGTTCTCAGGCAATCCAGTATCTCCAGATTATTCATATATGGCAGAGCTGTTAAAGCAGCAGTCTAACCCTAAAAGATAGGAGAAAGAAGAGAAAAATGAGCTGGTTTTGATTATGGCAAAATGAGAGGGTTTTTTCCTCTATCTACTGCTTTTTCATTGTGTGAAACGCTTTTCAGTGTTTTTTTCAATCAGACCCTGGCTCAGAACTGGAGTGCAGTCTGAAATACAAACATGGTTTCCCAAGAGGATAACTTTACTGAGGTTATCTAGAGCACAACCTTATGAACTAAAACCAAATTAAAAATACTCCTCTCCCTTCTTCCTTTCACTCAGTGACCTATGCTCTACCCTGATACCAAACTTGATGATGATATAGAAAAGTTTTAATTAAGGGAAGTCAGAGGGAAATCAGAGCATCTTTTAAAAGAACTGAAATGATAGGTTCCCACATCTCATAGTCAAAGGGATGCTTCTGCTATTACTGGCAAACTCCTGTGCCTAATAGAGACCTTCCTGCTTAGCAGAGCTGTTTTTCTAAATGTCATCCTTAGAGTAATTATTTGCATTTAAATTACATGGCAATCAAATCAGAATTGAATCATTTAAACTGGAAGTGAACAAGCTGATCAATGCCAGTATAAATAGAAAGGAGGATAGACATGGCATGGGAACAGCCTAATGGACAAATATTAACAGTTACAAATACTCAAATATATTTTGCTTTTCAGAACATATAAAACATGATTAATTTCTCAATTAGGAAATATATCTATGTACTTGATTGCTGGCTAGGCAGGAAAAGGATGAAATCGGATCACCATTTATCCAAATGAAACAGCTGACTTATATGTCCTGCATCTGTCTACTATGTGCTTTTGATGCAGTATTGTACTCGGTTTGTTTATGGTCCATGGACAAGCAGTACTCTAGTTTTATTTCAGTTACTAGCCATAAAAAAAACCCTCAAAAACATTTATGCAGCTGGATAATTACAGAATGTCGTGAGGAGCACAGAACAGTTTCTTTCCTGATTAGTCTAGTGGTTACTTAACTCGTTTTGCTGGCTTTGTGTCTCAGCATGTTTTAAGAACCAGGGAAAACAAAAAAAATTAATTGAAATGTACCGTAGCGATTTACAACATTGAGGATGCTCAGATCACGCCTATGAAATAATCTCTCAATGCAGAGCAAATCAAAGTAGAAACACGCATACATTCATACTGTGCCATGCACATCAATGTATAACAGAGCCTGATGTGGAAAAGAGCTGAACGCCCCCAGCTTCTCTTGTGACAGTATGACCAGATTATTAGCTGATGTCAGTTGGCGCTACTCCACTGGCATATTACTGGCACCATGCTGCCTTACATCAGCAGATGATCTGCCCCATCAACCAACCACCAGCTTTCAGGATTGGGCCTGCAGTAAACAACTGAGTGATATAAGCAATGTTTTGGTTACTATTTTCAGAATTATTTTTAAGAAAAAAGGTGGAGTGAACAGTAAATTAATACTTCTATATTCTAAATTAATTAATTAAATTAACTAAATTAAGTTAATTCTAAAGCATATGCCACTTGTCTTGAAGGACCAGAAAAGCTCCAAAACTTGTGCCCCTATGTAGACCACACTTACCTGGTCAGGATGTGGTTGGACTTGTGCCTAATAAAACTCTTGAGTTGCAAAAGTTTTCATTGAAGTTGGAACTTCTACGCTGTATCTGCCCGTTACACAGATGTTTTAAATGTCTTGGTAGTGGACTCAGAATTACTTTTGAGGCATCATGCTGCCTAGCTTTCCAATTTGCCAGGATTTTAGCACAACAGTTTGCTGAACTCACATATGAATGATTCTGGCAAGTGAACACAAAGCCCGTTTGTGTCTAGCCAGCTGTGTTTTAGCTTTCCAGAATGCACTATGAAGTTTTTGAAGTTCAGAGTGTTGTTTTAAACTTTCATAGGAAAGCTGATGTAGCTTACAGTGGAATATGTCCATACTGAGGTTGTCCTGCTTTGGTCCATTATAAATTCAGAGTTCCTCTTACTAAAAAGCTTGCTGCAATTTCCTCTTTCACTCAGCTTTCCCTGGCACAGCCTTAGCGAATGCTCACTTGCCTATTTTGGCAGTGACTTTGAGTTGCAGTATGAGTTTTTGTTTTTGATATTAAATAGTACAGTACCTTTAATTTCACTACTAATCCAGGTTCTCCAGGACCCTATTATGGCAGGTGTTGTGAAAATACTAAAACCAGAACTTCTACCTACAGACAAACGTTAAATACTGAATTCCTCTGTTTTATGAGCCTTATTTAAAGGTTTTTAGGCTTACTGTGGTTCTTTCTTGTGCCTTTTACTCCATTGATTTCAAAGGAGGCATGTTGAAAACTTTGTAAACACGTACAGAGACAAATGAACTGTAGTCCTAGGATAGGCTTGAATCTTCTAGGACTCTGGTCTGACAGAGTAGGAAGACATGAGGCACGTTGTTACTGTTTTCATTGCCCTACGGCTGATACAACAAGTAGTATTGTAGTGCTGAACTTATGTAGCATCAAACAATCGTGGTATTATCAGCTACTATGAGCTTTTGAAGGGACTTCGGCCCATTGCAAAAGCTGTAGTGCAAGATGGTGCTGTGCCTCTCAAACATTTTCTTCATTTCTTTTAACTCACTGATCCTAGTGTACACAGTGAAATGCTCTGCTCCAGCACTT